GTCTGCACACTTTTCTCAATGGGTATTTTATTTCAAAACCCTTATTTACACTGGAAGAGTGACAAGCCCAACTATTGATGGTATTAAACAGTAAGGGCAGAATACATTTATAGTAATATATAGAATCCAGGCAAAACAGACAAAAATACCAATGGATATTTGTGTGAAAAATTGAGGAATAAAACATTCGGAATCTCAAAAGTACCATGTCACAGAATCCTTTTTAATTACAAAGGGGAAAGGTACTTTGACAGAATCTGGTGGATCAAATAATTAAACTTAACATCTCCAATCTGTGACATAAAATGCTTCCTGATAGGCATTTATCCTGTGTGTGTGTGTGTGTGAAGGGGGTGGAGAGAAGGGAAGATGGTTAATCTAATCTAATCATGGCGGGTGGAATAATCAGATAAATTGCAATTTAAGGCCCATTTTTCAGGCGTAGACTCCAAAAATGCCAATTATCAGATTATGAGACTAAAGAGCGATTAAGAGCAAGGCATACTGTTTCTGATTGGTTTCTTTAGGAGGCTGAGGGAATAGTGGCTTTAGGGACAATTGAGGAAATTTGAATACACCGTGTATAAACTTATGACGTGCAATTCCCCAAACGTGATCGTGGCACTGTGTCAGGTAGAGCACTGAAGTATCTATGGGTGAACTATGAGGCACGCAAGGAACGCTCCCATGGCTCCACAAGAGAAAAAAGTGTGCATAGAGAGATGTTTCAAAATGTCAAAAAGATTTTTTTTAACAGTGATCTCGCAGTCAACACACACGTGGGGTACAAATAATTAGATATCTGCTGACCCTAGTCGTAAAAACAAAACAAAAAATACAAATGCACGGTGGGAAACCTTCGTAAAGAACTGGTCACAGAGGAATAAAAGGAAAAGCACAGTTTCCTATCTTGGCAAGCACGTGTTTAACGAGTGTGTGTCACTAGGCTACCTTGGGTGCCAATATCGACCTCTGAGCCTAAGGCAACAGGGGACGGAGGGGAGAGCGGAGGCCCAGTTTCCACCACACAGGAGGGGGCCACCTACTCCAGGCCGATCCTCGGTTGCTTAGGAAACAGACGCTTGTAGCTCCTTCTCCATCTTACCCCCAACCTCCCCACTCCTCACCTGCACCCCTCCATCACTAATCCCAGGCCTGAAGACAGCGAATTTGCGGAGAGCCTAAGGACCCGCTCGTAACTCTCCCTGATCCTTCCGATTCCCAGGAAGACAAGCCAGGCGACCCTGCCCACGCACTTACCACTGCGCCTGCCCCTTGGGGGCCATTCGGGGCCGTTTCAGCCATGGAGGATTCACACACGTGTCTGGGACGCCGCGATCGCAAAGAGAGGGGGGGAAAGGAGATAAGTCGTCAGCGCCAGTCTACAACCCCAGGAACCAGCTCCTCTGCCCCATGCCGCAGGCCGCCGCGCCCGCCCCGAACTGAGTCTCCAGGGGGCAAAGTCTCGCCCGCCGAGCTGCGGCGGACGGCCCAAGGGACACCACCTGGGGCCGAGAAGTACCTGTCCGCCACAGCCCAGAGCAGAGCTGGATATGCAGAAAGACCGAGGGCCAAAGTGCAGCTTCTGAGAAAAGCCCTACAGTGCCGACCCAAAGCTGCCGGTTCCAGGATTTTGCAGAACCCGGAAGTTCTC